ACATCCTCCATAAAATGCACTGCACACATCTGAATATTTGGGTTGAAGTGTTCTGGAACAGTGTTGTAAATACAACTTAACCACTGATTTCTAGTCGTGTCCTCTTTTGGAAGACCAAACAACGTAGTTTCACTTTAACAACGAAACACAGCGTCTTCACGACATGCCGGCGGCGGCAGCAACAATACTACAGCGAGAATAAAAGTTATGCCTTCTTTCTTTGCGTGAACATTTGGGCGGCGTTATGCAAATCTTCCCACATAGTGAGGTAGACATGTGGGGGCGTGTTAGAACGAGCCGTTTTAGGTAGGCGTGGTTGACTCTTAACTTTTATAAAGAATATCTCTTTGGATTTGAGACTTTAGTCTTTGCAACTTCAGGGATCTTATCTATGCACAATCAGCTTGTAACACTCCAGAGAGAAAGGAAAACTTGAAATCGCATCATATGACCCCTTTAATATTCTGACATAAATGTTACTTTCATTTTCAAAATAATCAGTAGTGGACTGTAAGGAAGTACATCCGTTAAGTATTCTTGTACAAATGTGAAGTACTAAGTTTTCTTTTTTCCTCACAGGACAGCAACTCTACAAAAATATGTTTTTTACAACATGATGCATTGTTGTAGATTAAACTACCCAACAGTATGAAGTAGGCAACTTTAAATTTAATAACCTTGAACGTATTCAGAAGTAAACTGCAACATGCACAGTAGTGCAGCAGAAATATTACTTTATTTTTCAGAACAATACTGTACATACCTTTAATATACCTAAGGTATTGAGAGTAAAAGTAGAGTATGCAAGATAATACTTTTACTTAAAGGATAGTTCAGCCAAAAATTAAAAGTTCTGTAATCATGTACTCACCCTCAAGTTGTTCCATTTTTGGGTGAAATATCCCTTTAGCTAAGGTTTTAAATATGACTAGTTGTTTTTCCCCAATGTGGTATTAGTAGTTACTAAAAGTAGTTTACTAAAGTACCTCAATATTTCTTCTACTAATTACTTTGTCATAGCTCTAAACAGTTTCTCTTTTCCCTCTTTCCCTAAATCAGTCCAGACCCCTGTACTGCAGGATAAAGCTGAATGTCCCAGTGCTGGACAGGTTTTTAATGGTTTTCGGCTGAGCAGAGAGGCCCTGACAGTGCTGCTGGATCTTCTGAGAAGTGAATGGCAACAGTGATGGGGTGCCACAATCCAGACCCTGGTGTTTCTCTTCTGTCTGGCCAGTGGTACATCATACAGAGTGGTCTCCAGAGTGTTTGACATGCCTCGTTCTACTGTCACCGCATTATCCTCAGAATCTCTGAGGAGGTGCTGGCCATTCACCAAGAGATTCACCTCCTGAAGACCCCAGAACACATGGAGGCAGGGCTGGGCTCAAAACTGAGGTTGTTTTTTCTAATGTTAAACCTAAGCTATGTTGTAAAAATTACTTTCAGTAATGTGTAGAACAATTTGGTTTGTGCAAAAAAAATTATTTACAGGACAAAAAAATAAACGTATAGAAGAATATTTTGTGAAAAAATTATAAGCTGCATTAAAAAAAATAACAATGTACATAATTACTTCTCTTTTATTTACACGTGAATATGCAAAACAAAAATACAAAATGTACAGAAAGTACTCAGGCACATTTACAGATAAATTACACTACAAAAATGAATAAAGTATACAACTTATTCATTTCATTTTTAACTTACATCACAAAAAATAAACTACAGAAATTAGGTTGTTTCATTGACAATGTGACATTTAAAAAAAAAGATAATTAAAAACGGTAATGTACCCATTTTTTCCACTGCTTTCTCTACTTGAGAGAAGGGTTAATAAATAATGTATTGTCTCCATTTTCTCCCTGCTCTCCTGTGCTCTTCTCTCCTGTCTCTCTCTCTGGAGTTTGATGTCCTCCCCGTCACTCATTGTTTACACAGTGCACAGTCATTGTAGGTACGACGGCTAATCAAAATGGTACTTACCTGCGCTTATCCGGATTGTTCAAACCGACTTAAAACTAAAAGATTACGTTCTCTCGCGTGAACTCATTCAGGAGTGGTGACTTTCCACGTATTCCCAACTTCTGAGCCCGCTCGCCTGAAGTTATGGTTGATTGCTCTTCGGCTGGATATCAACACACCCATTAACGTAAACTACGCCAAAGCGCATACACACCTCGTGCGCATGCTCAAAGCAGTTGGATATAGTGGTGTATTAGAGGTAAAAAATGATATAAATACTGTTGGGTTTCTGGCACAAACCGATCGTTTCGTGTCTTAGGACATCAATGTGTCGTCACGAGCCGCAAGGTTTAATTTGGATTTGTCTGTGCATGTTTTTTTTACTCTCATAGATTTTGTTATCATTGCCATGCATTATACGACTGATAGACTGCAACGGCTGGGGTTAAAAATCATCGAATGTGTTCTACTGAAGAAACAAAGTCACCTACATCTTGGATGCCCTGCTGAGGGTAAGCAGATAAACATCACATTTTCATTTTTGGGTGAACTATCCCTTTATACACCACTGTTATCATCAATGTTTAAAGTTGTGCTGTTTAAAGGACCTGAAAGCCATACTCAAGTAAAAGTACAGATATCTTACCAGAAAATGACTTTGGTAGAAGTTGAAGTCACCGTTTAGAATAGTACTTGAGTAAAATTCTTAAAGTATGTGATATTTATTGTACTTAAGTATGAAAAGTATTATTTTTTTTAAAATCTTAAACATACTTAAGTATTGAAAGTAAAAGTACAAGTAAATGCAAAATGGAAAAAAAGCAAATAAATAATAAAAAAATGTTCATGCACGGCTTGAGTAGCAAGATTGTGTTCAGTTTGAACTCTTTCTTCCATTTTGTATCTTTGGGTAAGAATCAGAAGCACTTCATCCGGTACTTAGTGTCTTTCGTTCCAACATGAGAAAACATTTCTGGAATCTGCATCTGAAATAGCATTTAGACGTATTTACACAGTTTATGTATTTCAGATGGGGACATGGATGCATTTAACCTGCAGTCACAGATGAATAAATAATGTTTTGTTTTTAACATAAAACGCTGAATACTGATATTTGAAATGATTTTAAAACATAAAAAAACAGTCGAAATGTGAAATTAAAACCGCTGTTAGGTGGCAGCAAGTGACTGTTAATGAGTGAGCCATTGAGAAACGATAAATGTTTCTTAAGCAGCATATTAGAATGATTTCTGAAGTATCATGTGACACTGAGGACTGGAGAAATGATGCTGAAAATGTAGCTTTGATCAGAGAAATAAATTACATTTTAATATATATTGCAATATAAAACAGTTATTTAAATTTGTAAAACTATTTCACAATGTTACTGTTTATACTGTATTTTTTTTTAGCACAAAAAACTTAGCAGAAGATGTTGAGTTGAAGAGACTTTATCAAAACTATTTAGAAATCGTAATGTTGTCAAAATTTTGAATGGTACTGTATAGACACTCCATGTCGCCCAACTACATAACCTATGCCACTGATCAGTAACATTTAATCTTATAATATAACATCTTTTTCATTGTGTTTATTTCACATGTTCGATTGTCAATCTAGAGGAAAAAGACGGCGTTTAATGGCTGTGACTTCCTCACTGAATGGCTATACAAGTGAGTAAGAGAAACGTGACTCTGTGTGTTTTGCCAACACTTTATGTCTATTTCCTTGTGACGTTTATACAGTGAAATGGTTAAATGTGTTTAAATATGTTCTTTATTTTTTGCTCTTGTCTATTAGTAAAAACCCTCGGACAGAGCGAACACCTACAAATTTTCATACAATTCCTTTCGTCCAGAATTGGCTTCTTGAACAGTAAGTAGATTGCCTAATAAACGTACTCTGGCTGTCTCTCTCAGTTTTCATTTCAGCTCTGAATGTGATTTATTTGCATGACAGACATTACAGTCTAAATGCTCTCTCTCTGTCAGTCCCAGGCCGCACATCCCAGCTTCTCTACTTCTAACCGATGAGCAAGCTGCAGTGTTGATCCAGGCTTTCTGGAGGGGATATAAGGTGAGTACTAGGGCTGTCAAAATGACTGAAAAACTAAATTCGAATTTTCTACTTAAATATGATCAAAATTCGAATTATATTCGAATTTAAAAGGCATAATTTCAGTTGGGGGAAAAAAGATTTTGGCTTCTCTCCTGAGGCCACAAGAGGGCGCATCGAGCAAAATATTATGCACGTTTCTCCAAAGCGTAATAAAATAACAGACTATCTTTGAAAAAAAGTGCATAATGTTTCAAATAATGTTTATAAACCATATACAATTAATAAAGTTGCTTAAACAATTAGAAAAAAAACAGCACCATGCATGTATGTATAGTTTAATACAAAGGACCGAAAACCAATCACAAAGAGTAGGCTACTTTCTTAATTTATAAACATGAGATACAGTGGGATGGGGAAAACCGCCATAATGTCTTTTAGACATGTTTTTTAAAAGTTGAACTTGCATTAATTTTACATGGCTTTCTAAACATGCCGCTCTCTGCGAGACGTGAGTGCAACGGTGATAGATGTCCCTCTAGAAAATGTGATAAATTTGCGTTCTGTGTGAACGGCTTTGTTTCAGTTTTGACGTAAACAACATCTTCTCCACACTAATGCTCTCATTTTCCGCAATATATGAATGAACAATGTAGCAGCATCGCATCTAGTGGGTTCAACTGGATAGGCTAACAAAAGCATTCAAATGCATACATCGTCATCGTATCCCGTGCGCCAATGATAGGCTGCCTGACGGCTGACGCAGACCTTAAATTTGAATGCAACGTTTTTGCATTCGAATGTTTTTTTTTTTTTTTAATTCGACGAATTTTTTTGACAGCCCTAGAGAGTGCAAAAACTTGTCACTGAAAATGCCGCAGAGATGTTATTGGCTGTCAGGGTACTATGCTTTTTTAGAGTCATAAAGGTTGAGAACCATTGCTCCTGTTGAACCACAAAATAAAATACAAACTCATGACATACACCCTCATAATCAAACACTGTGTCTACACTGTACGCATGTGATGAGACAAAATACATTTGAACCCATTATAATCTGCAGTCCGTAAGTTTTGCCTCTTTGTCGCCATCTCTGTTTGAAAACCTGGAATTGCAGCTGTGTGTGCAATTATCTTCCTTGTGTGGGTTGTGAGTCGGCGCGGCTCCAGCGTAGATGAATCTAATGTTCTGAAGAGTATGTGTGTGTGGCAGTCAGTCACCGCACCGGTGTGGATATTTACTGTACTTCGCAATCACAGATTCTAGCCTACGTCTTGAAATATGACCCAAATAAGAATTTTCGCCGTAAATTGCCATCTGAACAAGTAACAAGTCTGCCACGTTTGTTCTGACCAACTGAGGAAAAAAGCATTACCATAAATCTCGCTACCAATGGTGATTAAATCTAAAGTTCAGTTAGCTCATATCACATCAAACCGCTCAAATTATTATTATTGATATACTTTATTCTCAAATGATTGATGTTAACAACATCAGCATTGGTGACTCTGAGTATAGTGTGTATTAGCGTGTAGATTTCAATTTCTGCACAGTCTAATTTAATTGTCATACTCTTCGAATTTCATATTGAGAAATCATTTTAACCCAAAAAGCAAATTAAGCTCCCTTCGAACTGGTTTTCTTTCAAATACATATCTTTGTAATCCCGGGCTAACTGTAATCAGAAGCACATTTATAACTGGAATATAATTGAATTTCATTCACATGTGTTTCATAAACACATAATCCGTTCTGGATTACAATCCGCCATCAAAATTATACATTTAATTATTCTGGCTGCTGTGAGAAAAGGCTATAAACGATGCGCCACCTGCAGGATCCTCACATGCGATAGCCTAGTAGCCGGGACAACTTCTTTATGTTTACAGACGTGACGTAATGACGCAGCAGCATGCTCGAATTTCCTGCGAAAACCTACCCGTACCATTCAAATTAGAAAACATTATTATAAACGAACCGTTGTGAATCGGGCTAAAGTAAGGCGATAGTTTTGAACACTGGCTGGTTATGTACTTGCTCAAATATTGATTTCGGATCATTTTTAACCAAAAAAAGTTACGGACTGCAGCTTTAAAAAAGGTAACCACCATTATTTCTTGTGAGGTGAAATTCTTAGGGGTGGGGAAAAATTTGATTCACATGAGAATCGCAATTCAGTCTTGTAGCGATTTGCATTAATTCACAAATTTAAAAAGTTGAATTTTTAGTTAATTTAATAATAATAAGAATAATAACATGATGTTGTCGGAACAAAACAGCAATGTAGGAGGAAGAACAAGTTCATCCTGTCCCATTTTCAGTGAGGGCAAGTATTTGGAAAAATTTTATATTAATTATTGATAATTTGTGATTATGGCAAGTAGGGTTGTGCCAGAATAGTGAATCCGTATTCAGAAAGGCACGGAAAACGAACAACGCATTCTACGCATTGAAATAAATTTTTTCCTCCTATCTCTTATTTATAGGGGTTCCATAGTATGAAAGGATTTCCTTTCCGAACATGGTATTCGGATTTGGGCATGTACAATATTTTTGATTTATTAGGAAATTCATCGTTAATAGGAAACACTGATTTCTTTCTACCCATATTATAGACTGGTGTGTTTTGCATCAAGATACTGGTGCGTTTGATGTGCAGTGTGCACAAAAAAGTGATGAAAAATCGTGAATCGTGATTAAAAATAGAACATTTGTGAATCGATTTTTAATTGAATCGTGACCCCAAGAATCAATATGAATCTTCCCACCTCTAGTAATTCTTGTAATATCTTTGAATGTAAATAATCCTGTACATCATAATCCAATTCATGGAAACACGTGCAAAATGTTAATCAAATACATTATAGGCTAACATTAAAATATATGTCAGGTATCTCAAAAATAGTACAATTCAAATGTACTACAATTCAAAATACAATGCAAAAAACAGTAACATATTCCAGGGCTAAGTCTGCAGGGCAGTAGCTCTCCAGGAGCAGGGTTGGAGATCCTTGGCATTTGGCATAGCTCTTTCCTTAGATGTTTATTCACTTTCCAATGGTTAGATGCAGCTGGTGACCGAAAGACTGTAGGTGAGTCCAATTTTTAAGCGAAACAGCCTTGACAATGTTTGCTGCATTATCTGTGGTGATACGCACCTGTCGGTCCTTGCTAAGGCCCCAAGATGCGAGTGCATCCTCCAGAGCCTGGCAGAGTATTTCGGCAGTATGGTCATCCGGAAAATATGACGTCTGCAAGCATCTACTTTGAAGAGCCCACTCCTCGTTGATGTAGTGAATATTGAGGCTCATATATGGCTCAGATGTGCGGCTGGACCATATGTCAGTGGTAGTGGCACAGTTCCTTAGCTGAATTTCCAGCTTTCCACGGCAAGCTTCATAACACACATTTGTTTTAATAAAGTTCAAATAGTTTTCAGTGCAAAATGAACAGTTTCAAGTCAGTATGTGAGGCTCACTACTACATACTCAAGATCTTTAAATCACTCAGCAGTTCTTCTGCTGAAAAAAAATAGCATGTCTGCTTTTTCAGGAGACAAACAAGCCCGCTCTTGACTGATAATGTCCCCAGCAGTAGAAAATGTAAGCTCTGAGAGTGTCCTTCTTGTCTCACCACCAAGTTACTGGACTCACTGAGGACAGTGTAGATGGAAGTAATCTGCAGTGCTTTATCTCCGCCTGAATCTTCTATCTACTACTGCTGACAGTGGTCTCTGTTCTTAATTTAATTGCCATGTCCTCCACAGCAAACAGCTCCTCAAGGGCAGAGAGCTTTGGCCTCTTCTGTGAACGAAAAAGAAAAAAAGAAAATTAGTTTAATGTGAGTTAAACTTGATCAGTTGCTGTCAACTTTAAAGCATTTTAGCATCGATTTAGCGAGCTATCTATAGCTATACATCCAAACTAACCTTATGGAGATCCCAGTTTATAGGACTACAGTAAGTCACCGCGCAAAGAAATGTTAACTTAACTAGTACACAAGCATGTACCACAACAGGTTAGCTGATTTTGTTAGTTTGTTGTTTGTTTGCTAAACGTTAACCTTACCTGTCGGAGTCCTTACCTGTCCCAGTCATTGCACAGCTGTCTTCATGAGTAGTTTTGGATGAGGACTCGTGTGGTGGGCATGGTGCATGAGGCTCTGTGGCAGGAGGACACTGAGAGGATGACTACTCCGGCTTGGTGTTCTTATAGTTGAAGACGGGGCAAGTTTCTGCACTTATGTTTATTCTGTGTACTTATGTTTATTCTGTGCAGTCAAGTGTGCTTTATCAGATTTGTTGTGTTGCCGATCTTGGCAGCAATTATCTTGTTGCAAATATTGCATTGCGCACTGTTGTCATCGAGTCTGATGAAAAGCCACACTTTTTATCTTTTCTACATCTTTTACATCTAGGGGGGATGGGACGTTTACACACTACAGCCCGTTTACACATGTGTGAGCCACATCTCTGGGCATAACCAGCGTAAACTAGGGGGTGCACTGACTAATCGACTAGTCGACTTCAATGCTCTGCCATGACACTTTAAGCTTGACGTCGACTAGTCGCTGGTCCTATAGAGGGCGCAACAGGATAAGAAATCTTTGAAGGACTTCTACATTTATGATCCGTTTCCAAACAGTTAAAATGACTAATAAACATGTGAGATTATATTACTGGATGCTCGAAATGGAACGGGAGAATGCACGTTTTAAACAGCTTATCAAATCTAGTTCAAATCTAATGCGCTGCTGCACTTCGCGTGGGACGCGCACACAGAATCATTCAGCGCGGAAATGTATTGTCAACATTGTTCTGTGATTTCTCAATAAAATAGCTTTGTAACTTAAAAGTTCATGCATATATTTCTTAATAACTAAATCCCACAGCTTCACTACTAGTAGAGAGACGCTGCCAGGTAGAATCAATTCACACGCAATCGCTCTCTCTAATGCATTCATATGAATGTAATCTTTACTGTGCTACTTTATCTGTATCTGATTTAGAACGAGCAGAAATC